AGCATCATCTTTAGGGATTTTAAATAGCTCAGCCGGAATTCCATCACCTCCACTAGCTTTGTTTGTAGTGATGCTTCCTAAGGCCCGCTTGACTTCACACTGCAGGGTGCCTGGCTCTAGGTGAGTGATCGCGCCATCGTAGTCATCTGGGTCGTTAGACTTTTTTTGCACCGTTCTTCTGTGTGTTCTTGCCAACCCCTCTTAGGCTCCTCTACTTCTGCTGTGTCTGTGCTGTTTTTGTCCTTTATTGAGCCCATCTTCACAGGAAATGCTCCCTTGGTGTCTCCGATTTTCTTAAAGAGATCTCTGGTCTTTCCCATTCTGTGTTTCCCTCTATGTCTTTGCATTGTTCGCTTAAGAAGGCTTTCTTACCTCTCCTTGCTGTTCTCTGGAACTCTGCTCTCAGGTGGGCATATCTCTCCCTTTCTCCTTGGCTTTCACTTCTTTTCTCAGCTGTTTGTAAGACAACCACTTCCTCAGACAACCACTTCTCCTTCTTGCATTTCTTTCTCTTGGGAATGGTTTTGGTCACCACCTCTTGTGGAATGTCCATGTAGTTTTTCCTATTGAGTTTTCACTGGTGTTTGACTGTTTTTAATAAACTCACAGTGAATATTTGCATTCCCCAAAATTAGTTCCTTGGGATACCAGTAAGCAATATGTGAGGAAAGGTATTCCATGGTCAATAAATACATCTTGGAAACCTTGGCTAAAAAACTATTTAGTAGTTTCTTTATGATGATTTCTCAAAGACTTAAATAAGCTACTCTTCTCTGTGACTCACCAGGACGGGAGGCTGCTGTGGTTTGTTTGGGCCATGACAAGGTTTTGGAGGAAGTGCTTTCAGGATTAGTAACCACAACAGCTTCATGGGATACTAACCTCTACCCAAAGACTATACCAAATTTCAACACATAGTTTCAGAAATTGAATTATCAAATTAACAGGAATGAATGTTTGTGTTCTTGATGCACATGTCAGTTGCCTTTCCCAAAGTGAGCACATTGCTTAAGGAAGTGTAAATTACTACCCAATACCTGTGTCGGCATACCCTCCCACTCCCCCAGGGGTGACTGTGAATTGTTTAAATCTGATCTGATTTGGTAATGTTTCTGCAACTGTAGAGAGGCCCAGCATTTCCCATGCTATTGATTCCTTGCTGCTGCTTTTGCGAATACCTTCTCAGATCCTTTGCCTGTCTATTGGGATCTTAGCTACTGTTATGAAAATCAGTGGTCTATTTTTATAATCAGATATTAGTGCAGAATTTCATATACTTCTAGCAGCCATTTTCCAAGTTCTTATGTATCGTTTATTTTTTAATTAGGTTATTTTTTAACCTGTGGTGCTTCTACATTTTCATGGATCAGTTCTTTAAAGCATTTCTTTCTATAGTTGTTTTTTGGGGTTTTTTTCTTTTTTGATTAGGCTTCTTTTTTTTTTAATTGGAGGCTAATTACTCTACAATATTGTAGTGGTTTATATAGTTTTTTTTCACCATATTAAGGCTTAGAAAATCCTTTTATAAAGTTTTACCTAGACACTTAGTAATCACTTCTTGTTTTTTGGTTGTTGTTAACATTAACTCTTAACCCCTCTGGTATTTATTAATATATTAATTTATCTTACACCCTTCCCCCTCCCAGAAAGCTAACCAAGTTTTACAGCACTATTCTCTGAATAATTTTCCCTTCCAAATTAATATATAGTGCCCATACAATATTTAATAATTGTTATGAAATAAAAAACATTTATCTCCATTTATTAAATGGCAATTTATTAAGATTCAGTTACTTGGCCAATTTCAGTCTGGAGAGGAGTAGATGTTAATGTAATGCAAACTATGACATTTACAAACTTGCATTTAATTTGATGTTGTGATAAAAAATTTCCTTCCTTGAAGCTCATGGGAGAGATCACTAAAAGGAACATGAGACTAGAGAGCTTAGAGGAATTTGAAAATTAAAATGAAGAAAGGAACGTTTGTCAATAATCAATGTTAGTAATAAAAGCAGCCACTGTATAAACATTATTGGTTTAATTCTTATAATCCACTTTACCGCTGAGGAAGCAAAGACCCAGAAGTGACTTCCTCTGGCCCTGAGAGCCGGGACAGACAGAGCCAGGACCGCTTCCAGGGCTGTGTATCGCCAGCCCTGCTCCAGTCGGGGTCTGCGGATGTAGTTTCAGCACTCCCCAAGGGGCGTTCTTGCGGCATCTGTACTTTAGCAAAGAATCAGCATGCTATTCGACATTTATAGGGTAAAAGGGGGGCAGACTTAAGAAGTGCTTGGCTGAAAGTGTGTAGGCAGGTAAGCACATCGAATCCTCTCTTCCGAGCCTGAGCGTGGAGGACCCTGCCGGTGAGAGAGTACGCGTCCCGTCTGTGTGAGAACACGGGTACCAAGGGGCCCCTCCCTGTGGGCCAGAAGGTGAGCCCTCCCATCCGCTCAAGCCCCTTGGCTCGCTCACTGCACGGGAGCGAGGCTTTTCTCAAATGTTCTTTCTCCGCAAGTTCATAGGGAAATTGCAGAACAATTCCTCGTTCCTGTGTGTCTTCAGGCCGCGATGGCTCACTTTTGAAGCCCGAGGCTGATGCTGAGGCAGCGTTGTTTTGCAGACACGCAGTGTTTGTTCCCAGAGCAGGGCCTGTGCCCCTCGGTTTGCCGGCTTTGCAGCTCCCGGGGCTGATCCTCTCAAGTCCCCCGGGAGCCACTTTTGTGGCAGATTCCATTTGGTTTCAAAGGGCCTTGAGAGGGGCGGCGGGGCCACCTGGCGCGATCCCCCCAATCTCCCACGTTAAGAGTGACTTGCAGGCTGCCCTGGCGGGAGCCCGAGCCCAACCCCAAACAGGCTGCCCCTGTTCCCCGCATTGTCTGCGGACCGGGCGTCTTTTCCCAGCTGACCTGCCTGCAAGTGGAGAGATGTGAAAAGTTAGAGACAAAACTGGTCTCTACAGAGTGAGAGAGAGCTTTCTTGTACAGAAAGGAAGGAAATACCTCTGTGGGATTTTATTTTTCCCCCCCTCTCCATCCAAAAAATACAAAGAGACTCTCTGTCTTTAATGCGAGTGTCGGCTTTAAATCTCTTAGGTTTGGATTAACTCTGCAAAAGAAAAAAAAAATCTGACAGGCTTTCAGATATGACGCAGAAAAACTTTTTTCCCCTCAATTCATGGCGTGCATTTGCAAAGCCAAAGGCTGGTGGGCTGAATAGTGGGCGCCAGTCTCCCCGTCACAGTTAACATCACAATGGTCAGAATTAGCAGCCTCTGTCCCCACCAGGGGACGTTTAATACAAGGTGGCAAAGGCAGGAATAAACCTCTCTTCTCTTGCCCCCCAAATTAAAAGAGATTAAAATTAAGCCAAAGAAACGAGGTTATTTTCAGTTACACGACTTAGACTTATCTTACCTTTTTCCCACAAAAGGAAAAAGAAATGTGGCATTTTGCAGTCATTACCTAACTCAAAAGCTTCCTTCCAACTAAACAAAACCCACTGACTTGATGGACATTTCCTATTACACAGTTATTGTTGGTTTTCACTATTGAGGATGTCAGCCAGCATGTCGAAGATCATGTTTTGCTTATAAAATAAAATGACTTTTATGTGAATATCTTTCGTCTTGGTGGTGTCCAGAAAGTGGGTGCTGTTCCTCTGAATCCACGTGGCGACATTTATTTTCTGAAATTTGGGGTAATAGCATGTTCTTATTTTTAATGTGTTCAGAGCTGTTTCATCCTAGATACTAGAGTATTCTGCACCAAGAGTCGGTATCACTAATCTTGTGTTAATGTAGAAAAATTTTAAACAGCAGCTCGTGGTTTCCAAGTGAAAGTCAAAATGAATAGGTAATCTGAAGCACAGCTTAAAATGAGCAGTCTTTATATTTGATATGGATGGATTGATTAGGACTGTTTGTTTTTGTATAATTGTGAAACCACCTATATAAATTAAACTCTAGATCATTTTTAATTCCTGACCCACATGTAGTTTAAAAAAAAGTTTCTTATGTGATATTTAGTGGGATGTAAATGGATGTGCATCAGTTGGCTGCTAAATAATGGAGTTATAACAATATGTTTATGGATTTAAATATGTACTGCATATTTGTTCTTGATAAACAAATAGACTCAAAGTGAAATAAAATATTACTTTTGGTTTTATTTATTTATGTGACACTATCCGCTTTAAGCTGTAGGTAATCTAATTACATTATAAAGGGATTTTTATTATAATCACAAACAACTAACAGAATTTATTTATTTTTATTATAGAATCATTTTCTTTGCAACCCCAAAGGCTCTGATATAGCAATTTGGGATTTAATACAAATGAAAGTGTGTTAAAACTTATTTTGGGTTTTACATACTAAATATTTGGCTTGACTTTAGCAATAACAGAATACACTGAAACAAGTTATGTAAATCTTTGAACAAAAATGAGTATTATCCCTACATAATATCAAATTGTTATTTTTCATAGATACCCTAAATTGTTTATACTGTATTCATGATGTATCTGGATGATGTTTTAGTATCATGTAATATTTTAGAAAAAGTAAATTTTTATTTTCCAGAAATAGTAAATTTAGTTTCTAATTAGGATTGATTTTATGTATTATAAGAGAATTTAATCCAGCATATGTTTGAAGTTTGCTCAAAAAGATAATTTTTTATATTCTAAGTTATAAAAGAAAGTCAAAGTTTATTACTCCATGTTTTGGTCACAATAATAAGAAATTCATAAAAAAATGTGAAAAGATTTGGTACATGATAAAACTTTGCTGTCTTAGCTACTGAGGGAAAAATAGAAAGGCATGTTTTCGTAAATTAGGCTTTTAATTCCAAATATTTCACAAGTTTGAATTCAGAGTTATTTTATGCCCTCTTGCAGAATGAGATTCTTAAAATTATTTCACTTGAAATTGTATAAAAACTTAACTTGTATTTACTGCTGTATTTTTATGGTTTTAAAGTGATACTGTCTCTGATCCTCAGGCGGCCATGTTGTTCAGTTCTGGTGTCTTTTGGACGGGCCTGTTGTTTATCCCTGTGGCCTCCTTGCTCCTCGACGTGCTATATAAGGTGTAAGTATAATACTCAGTTACGTACATAGCAACGTAGACGGCGTATTAATCCATTTCTGTAGTAGTGACATCAACTCTAATATAGAGTTTACAAGATAGGAATTAGTAATATTAATTAACTATGTAAATAAAGGAGAAAGGACCGATTGAGGAACTAGAAAACTACATTAGTTTAAAAGAGCCAGCAGAAGTAAAGCAGGTAGTTTCATTAAAATTTTTATTAATCAGCCTGAAAAACCCCTTCAAGGTAGAAGAAAAAATTATGTTATCTCCACACATGCACTCACACACACACACACCCCCATAAATTTTTAGTGAACAATAGTTGTGAAAGGAAATTTTTGCTTGCTTGATTCTAAACATATATAAAATAGAGACTAGAAGAATCTACAATTTTATTCATCTTTCTCCAGAATTATAAGTTTTAAAATGTTCTCTCTTCCCACAAAAAAGATATCGTTTAAGTTAGTTAATGTGATGCTTGTTTAATGACTATGAAAGTTTTATTACTATCAACCTAAACCATTTATGACCATTGTTTCTATAATTATATTACTGCCCAAAATTACTATAATTTTTTAGATTCTATGAAAAAACTCCTTGTATTCTATTACTATTGTACTTAGAAGCAACATGGTAAAAACTTGTTTTATAATGTCTTAAATCTGCACACAAATACTTCGATCCTTTTTCTTCTCTTTCGCTTTCATTTTTTTGCAGTATCAAGAGGACTGCTTTTAAAACATTAGTAGATGAAGTTCAGGAGCTGGAGGCAAAATCTCAAGACCCAGGAGCAGTTGTGCTTGGGAAAAGGTAAAACACACGCTCTGTTCTTTTCTAAGTGGGCTTTACATTTTTCCTTTGCTAGCGGCTGGAAATAAGCAGGTGAACTTGTGCTTATCTGTTGAGATGGAGCTGGCAGCGTCACTGACAGATTTTGGAATCAGGGAGATGCAGGTTCAAATCACATCTCTTCTCTGAGCTGCCTGCCCCTCAGCCAGGTTGCTTAGAGCGCCGGAGCCTCAACTTCCTCATCTGCACAGTGGGAGTGGCCATACCTCCCTGCCAGCCATGGCGAGAATTGAAAACTGTGTCAGTAAAGCAGGTGGCTGGGGGCTTCACGAGCGCGAAATGAGTGGCGGCTGCAAACAGTGTTTATTATGAAACTGAGAAAGAAAATGCAGTGCTCGTAGAAAATGCACAGAAGACGGTCAAAGTCAGAGGCTGCGTCGAGTCAGCCGTCCGTCGGGTTCCTCCGTGGTTCAGTACTTCCCTGGGGACCGGGCTGGGAGTCACGTCTGAAGCGAGCCCTCTACGTCACCACCGCCCACCCCCACACACCAAAAAAAAGCAAGGCTAGAAGGCTAACCAAATTTACCGAGCGTCACAAAGCATTACAAAGGAGAAACTGAAGTTATCCGAAAGCACTCTGCAATGATCCGCAGTTAAGATGAAAATACCAGGAACTGACTCTCCCTGTCCCGTCACACCAAAGCGAGCCAGCGTTTCGTCTCGACCCCAGGAGACGGTTTGCCCTGGTCTCTGTCGCCTTCAGGGTGATTCTCCGTCCTTACTCAGACGACACGATGGAGTGAGTGTCAGTCGGGGCGCTCGGGCTGAGGCCTTGGCCTCCAGCCCTCCCTTGCTCGCTCAGGCCAGGGGGCACGTCATTCCCGTCCGCGCCCCTCTCCTGAAAGCAGCAGCCCCGGCCCCTGTGGGGCGTGCACCCCTCCCTTCACAGCTTCTCTCAGGGAACCGCCGTGACATTCGTGCCCAAATCCATCATCCCCATTTTTCCCGGATGGGGAAACCGGGGCCCAAGAGACCCACGTCCTCCAGGTGCGAACTGACCGTGAGCCCGTGTCGGCTGAGTCTGGAAACCCCGTCAGGCACTCCTCTGCCGCCTCGGACTGCTTTTCGGGAGCGCAGTGGCGTGGCGCCAGACGGAGCCTGCCTGCAAGGGGACGGTTCTGACCCCCAGTGTCGGCGTCCCGGTGTCCGTGACGAGTCGACGCCGCCGCCTTCGGATCGCGGGAGTCGCTCCACCTCCGCGCGCTTGCCCCTCATCTCCTCCCTTCGCCGCCAGCTCTACACCAGCTCCACTGCTCTTCACAAAGCGCCCCTCGGGAAGCGTCTCCTCTCGCTTTCCCTCTGGCGGTAAACAGGATATAGGAGGAGCTCTGGCTCTCAGGAAAGGATGGGGCATGGATGTGCACGACCAGGTCCCTTCGCTGCGCATCGGAAGCTATCAAAGCATTGTTAATCAGCTGTACTCCAGTGTACAAGGTTTGCTTTTAAAAAAGAAGAGTCCCATTAATAGTTCACAGAATCATGAATGGAAATATCCACAATTATTAGGGAGGGTCCACTGACAGTCCTGTTACTGCCCTTAGTAAACTTCTCCTATCTGTGTGTTCATAAAACTTAGATTAAGGCCCTTCATGTGGTAGTGTTTTCCTCATTCGTAGTGTATCAGTGACTTCGACAGTTCACGAGTCAGGCCGAGGCTGCATGTGATGACCTCTGCTCTCGGGGTCCTAGAGGCCAGGAATCTGTGATATGGTAGCCCCTTACGTTACGTAAGTCAGAGAGCCTAGACAGCAAGAAGTGACTTCAGCGCAGATGACCGCCGACTTCTCCACAGAAACTGCGTCTGATGGCTCTCCTGCTGCCGCTCAGCTCATTTGCCTCAAACAGCGGCTCAGCTGATTTCGGGGGCTCGGGACCAAGTGAGCTGCGGGCCGAACAGCCCAGCTGAAAACCCCTAGTCTGGCTTGGGCGCCGCGTTGCCACTGCTGCTGGCCGGAGAGCAAAATGCTGGTGGCGGTCAGCCCGGCCGCGGCGTCCCCTGCTGATGGCAGCTCAAGGAGCGGAAGGCCTGTGAGAGAGCAGCGCCTGGCCGGCAAAGCCTTCACATCAAACTCGTTCTGAGGCAGCTCGGCAACGGTCAGATTGGTTTACCGACAGAACTGTTTTCGGAACCTCGGAGGAGAAGGAGGTGAATGTCAGATTTTCAAACATGAGCTGATGTCATCTGCGTTTTTCAAAGAGGGCGAGATGGTGATTTCTGTGTCTTCGAGTGACACCAGGCTTCCTTGAGGGCCGACACACGCACATCATTGTATGCTTCCTGGCCTCGGCGTGTGCTGATTCCTCGTCTACAAGCTGAGACCCTCTTACAGACGGGTAATCCAGTTCCTGGCTTTCAAAACCCAGTCCAAACGCACTTACCTCAGCATTCCGCAGATGAAGTCAGTCCCCGCTCCGCTATCTCTGTATTTTGTTATTCTCGTGTTTCTGCATTTGCCACAGTTTGCTAGAGTCTGTGTCTCCGACACGCGTTCGCTCGCATCCCCTGCTAGACTGAGCTCCTTGTAGCAGAGGCCTCTGTCTTAGTCTTAATGGCAGCCCAGCACCAACCACAGAGCCAGGAACACGGCGTCATTCAGTTAATATTTATTGAATGGATGAATGAATGGTCAGGAGAATGAGCCAAAGAATGAGTCCATTAGTGAAAGGGTAGGCGAAAGGATAGTTGAGTAGTGGGCTAGCCTGTGGGAAGCTAAATGAAAATGTGATACACAAGAACACAGGACTATCTAGGTTACACTTCCCAAACTAGGCAGCTCCAGTGTAATGGTTGCTTACTTTTTTGTCATAGGAGGATGCAGTTCTTAAGAACGACCTTGTAAGTCGATCACCCCAGTTTTTTCACCTTCACTAAGCACGACTATGAAGTCAAGCTAGATGTAAACGCACAGTTTCTCTGTGTCAGAGAAACTAAGTAAGCACCGTATCCAGATTAGTATTTACAATAATTCATTTCTCGTCTCTACTCATTTTCAAAAATTAAAACATCTTGGTTAAAAGAATGTCCTTTTTTAATAGAAATAAGTATGCCATTTATCATATTATTATCCTGACTTCCCTGGTGGCTCAGGTGGTAAAAAATCTGCCTGCAGTGCGGGAGGCCCGGGTTCAATCTCTGAGCCAAGAAGGTCCAGGATTTCCCAGGCGAGAATACTGGAGTGAGCTGCCACTTCCTCCTCCAGGTCACTGTGTAGCCATGACTTCTTCTTTTGGGTAAAGAAACTAACTCGTAAGCTATGAAACTGTCTTTTGCTGTTACTTTCTATGGACATGCTCCAACACTAGGGAGCAGAAGCATCTGCATTTCCGAAACCCAAAAAGCTTTGAAATTCAATTTTTTTCCACAAGCTCACAGTGAAATTTGCTGGATTTTCAAACCAATTTGTTCTCGAAATATAAGGACGTTGATGGTGTTTATTTTTCTGCAGTGTAAATATGTCTGTGTTTTATAGCAGAAATATTAATTTTGGGGATATGGGTCTCTAAGGTCTCACTTGGGAGAATTACGTATATAAATTGTGTGTAACATATTACTTTCCTAAAACAAAACAAAAATATGAGTTGAGAACCCCAAAGTGTTAAAGTAAAGGATTGCGGACACTGGGCTCATTGGAGACAGGCAGTTATTACTGGATATCTTTCCTGTGTGTGTGAAGCAATGCATCTTATAGTAAGGCCAAGTATGAATAATGAGAGTCATAATTTTTTACACGTATCTATAGACATTAGCCAGTATATCATCATCAGCCTCTATTAAATAGTATTTTAGCCCAGGATCTTCAGGTCAGTCCTCATTAATTTGTTCATCACCACTGTTTGGCCCACAGCCTGAACTTTTTAAAGTAGGGAAGTATAGATGTCAGATAATTTGGTCCTGGAGACAGTGATGGTGGTCTCTCCTAGCTTTTCTCTGTGTTGTTTATCTTAATGAAAAACAAGAGATTCGATGTAACTAAGGCAAAAAACAAAACCTGGTAGCTTTCCTAAAGAAGTGGAGTGGGGGGCATTATAAATTAAAACTCATGTTTAGCAATAGACTTCTCCTGTTGAGTCAATGTTGATTATAAACCAAGGCATCAGAAATGATCCTCACAAAGTATCTTTTGTCTTGTGATGGTCTCTGTTCTAGTGGTTTTTTAATAATAAATTTCTTGGGATGTAGGGAATGGTGAGGGTGAGAAGAACTGGTGTTTCTAAGTGGCTGAGTGCTTCCTAAGTGCCATCTTCCTGAATTCTCCGTCAGCCCACGGTTTGGAACTGCCCTCCTATTCTCCATGAGATGTCTGAGAACGGCTGCCTAAGGCAGTCCAGCTCACAGAGAACAGAATTAAATCAAAGACTGCAGAGCCCGGGTCCTTTCCACAGCAGTGTGCTTCTTTACCCAGAAAGAAACTGTTTTCTTTAAATAAACACTAGACATTAATGTGACATGACAGCTGAGTGAAAATATAGCCTTAAATGGCCATTACAAAATGAAATTACATCGTCTCATATATTTTGGTTGCCATAATATGAAAGGGCCACTTCTATATTAAAGGATCATGCATTTAAGAAGGCCAGCCTACAACCTGGAAAATGTATTTTGGGAAGAAGAAGCTCCATCATGACACATGGCTGTCCTCTAGCCTTCTGTAGTCATTTCAGTTTTAAACACCAGAGACTTCCCAGCACCCCATCCACAGTGGTCTGCTAAAAAAGTCAGACCACCTGCTGCTAAAGCTGCCACTTCCTCAAAGCAGTTACATGTTTTAGGGTCCCTCTGAGTCCCCAGGTCTGTAATGGCAGAACATTTTAAGAGTAGGGTAAGAAAAGTCTGTAAAACTGGCTCTTTCTCATTCCCCATATCTGTTTATTTCACTGGCAAAAACAAGTTTTACAAGTTTTTGCAAAACCGCTAGAGTTTTAAGATTAATTAGCTTTCTTGCCTTAATTCCCAATGACAATAAAGTATGTCTAATAAGTACCAGTTAACACCCCTAGACTTTTAAAAAATATCTGTGGAAGATTACTACAAATGTCAACATTTCTAAATATTTTACTTCAGCAAAAGTCTAAATGTTTCTGTAATTACAATGAGTTCATTTTACAGATGATCCTCTTTTTTTGTGTATGATAAATATTGTTCCATTTCAGGGTCTAAAAAGAATTGGCAATATACAGAACTAACATAACTTACAGCAGTTTAACTAAAGCTTAAAATGGGGAAGCTAAAAGATGGAAATTTGTCCACTGAGTCAGTTCCAGTGATTAAAACAAAATTACATAAACATTTGCTGCAACACATGTGGATTACTTATTAGCTCTTCATGCTTGTTATGTGGTTTAATATCAAAGCAAAGTTTTATAAATCAACCAGTGGAGAAATGGCATGACTAGGAGGATTGATGATGTTTAAAAGTGCATTTCAGAATTATTATTCAAATTTATTTATTTGACAGATATTTGACTTCCCACTGTGTGAAACACTGTTCTATGAGCAGGAGAGAAAAACAGACGCAGTATTTCTTGCACTCTGCTTGTAGAAGTTACATAATTACGTGGATTCATTTCTGCAGAAAAGATTATTCTAAATGTTTATTGAAAAATAAGTGTTTTTTCTTCTCACTTTACCTAGTAAATTATTTTCTGAAAATAGTTTTTTTTATTTTAAAATTAAGGAACACATTTCATACCATATTAGAGTGGTAATGGAATTTTTCTAATTAAAAAGTCTATGAGATTTCTTCTTTACCTAATATTTTGGATTTTTCTGTATAAAAAAAATTATATAGTAATGGTTCATTTTTATTTTAAATTCTCAAATGCCATACTTGCTCTGTGTAGTAAGTCATCTAAGATTTTAGAAAGTACTATCCCTACTAGTGGATTTTGTGGTTTTTGTTAATTGTATCGTGCAGGTTCTGTATCTCTCTTTGACTTAAAAACTGGGGCTGGGGACATCTTTTGACTGCCCTATTGGGGACAAAACTCTTCTGAGCTGTAGGGGAAAATGGCCTCTAAAGTATCTGTCTAAATACTTGCAACCTCATTTGCTGTCTGAGAAAAGAGGGTAAAAAAGCATCAGCAGACTGCAGATTTCTCAAACAGGCTTTTGTTCAAGTCTAACTCTGGTGGTCCTGCGGGCACGCTGGGGTCTCCGCCGAGCTGATAATTCATTTCTCACGTTTGCACCTGCTTTGCAGCCTCACAGAGAGGGCGCAACTGCTCAAGAACGTCTTTAAGAAGAACCACGTGAACTTGTACCGGTCAGAATCACTGCAACAAAACCTGCTCCGTAAGTATTTGAGTTCTGATTTTTAAACACATTCTCCGCCATTTCCTCATTGCATTTATAGGAGCAGTATTTTGACTTGAAGGATATTTAACTATTTACAGTTAACACCTAAAACAAATTTTGCACATTTGCAACACATTATATAAATATTAATAACAAATGTTTAGAGAGTCTTTTGACCACAGCCATCTCACTTTTAGCAGAAAAGATAGAGCATTTGAAAATCTTGCTGCTTTCACTTCACAAAAAATATTTCTGTATGCCCCTTGCCTCCTTAAATCTTGAAAAGAGCCAGTGAAATAAATCTTAACTCTTAAAAGCTTACATGGTATTGTTATCTTTTCTACTTGAATAACTTTGCAAGAGCCTTTTCAGCTTTCATACACAATGACATGTGTGTGAAACAGCACACAATGAAACATATTTCCCCCTTCAAAAATATTTATGAATATTTAGAGTTGTAAGAAATTATTAGGTATCATGCCCTCTTAACATTTGAAGGATCTCAAAAAGAATATAATATATAAAGCCCTGTAGTAAATGTATTTTTGTTAGTAATATATCTTTTGTTTCATGTTGTCTCCACGTGTGATTTATTTTCATGTGTATATACTCATGTTTAATGCTTTTGCTCTTCATGCTTCAAGAGGCCTTTTCTAAAGATGGGAGCCCCTTGGGGGCCATTTCTTATCCCCAGGCCCCGTGTGACCAGGCTGGGGCATGAGGGAGTTTGTTTGTAGATGCTGAGCATCCAGAACCGTGTCTTCGGAGGGAAGTTGTGTGTGTCTGCCTCCTTGCTCTCATTCTTCCTTCACTCTCATCCGCCTGATCCGTCTGGAGTGCACGCTCCCTCTTGACTGCACCCCGCAGCCCTCCGCTAGCAGGAAGCAGACGTGAGAGGAGCTGGACATGGTCTGCTGAAGGGAGAATGCAGGGGAGGCTGCAGCCTCTGTCCATCCAGGGAGCAGAACGCCGAGGATCTAAGCCACCATCACCTCACTCTTCATTTTGCACTTGAATCCATATCGTTCCCAGACATTAAAAATTAGTGTCCTTATGCTTTTAAAGGCAGGGAAGGATGCATTAGCTCCCCAAGTTAGAAAGTGAACACTCAAAACTCAGAATAACAGAGACTTCCTGTGACTTCAAGCTCACCATTTCTATTTTAACTTACAGATGGGTATGCTTTCTCTCAAGACGAAAATGGAATCGTCTCACAGTCTGAAGTGATCAGAGCATATGACACCACGAAGCAGAGGCCTGATGAGTGGTCATGAGTTGCGGGGCTGCGAGGTCAGCTCTGATACGTCCTTTCGGGGAGTCCCAGGTCTTCACCAGAATCTGCTGACCAATTCCAGTCTGGTCCAAGGAGGGGAAATGAATCTGAGCTCATCTCATTGACTGACATTCAGATTCATGTATATTATAGACGTAAGCACTGTGCAACTATACTGTAACACCATCTCTTTCAGATTTTCTAAAGTATTTGCTAAGTCTTTGTAAACAGACATTGAAAATGACCTTGTATCTTGCCAGAGTGTTGTTTTTTTTTTCAACTGAAAAAAGGTCAGTATTCTTTTGCTGTTACTCTGGAGCTACAACTATCAGTGTCTTGGATACACCACAAGGCTATTCACCATTAAAAATCTGCAAAATGGTAGTAAGTTAGAGGGACTCTTGATATCCAAATTTAGATTTCAGAACATGCTGGGTAGGGGGAGGAAACAGCCTTCTTAAAGAAGCCACTCACTGGGCAAAATTTCTAAACGAGACATTAATGATAAGTGTTGGTGTCAAAAACTGTCTTGATAAATGTTTGCCAAAGAAGTTCAATAAATGTATTACTGTTTCTCCTTCAGTAGTAATTTGCCCAGAAATTTACAGGAAGGTTTACCTCCAGTTCTGCTGTGAGATCTGCATGCCTGACTTTTCCAATCTCAGAGTGATTTGTAAAAATGAGTATTTCAAGGCATTTGCTACTAATATCTGTGATGTTGCACCTTTGGCCTTACAAATGCTTCTTTCTCATTTGTCTTGTCTGTCTGTTCAGGTGGAAGTGCACAAGTGATTATGTGACTGTCGTTACAATACTGATTTTTAAAACTGTACTTACGTCTCCATCCTTTCTAATGACATTTCATCATCATTGAGTTTTTTGTTACAACCTGGCTTCTGCTGTAGATTAAGTGATGTCGTTTTGCCTTTGAGTTTTCTCTTTTTTTTTTTTTTTCAAGAAAAATGTACTTAAGTGTTTATGTGGGATTTCCAATACTTCTGTCGAGGTGTTTGTAAAACCATGTCAGATAAATGCCTGGGCTTCTGTAGTGTCTGTAGGCTCAGCTTTTTGTCCTGTGTTTTGGTTTTCCCGAGTAGTGCCCGTTCCGGATGCCTGTTGTCCTTGATGGCACGCCCCAGGTCAAGGTGACTGCCCTGAACTTAAAACCAAGAATGGCTTAACAGTGCACTTGTCAAGCCGCTCCCAAAATTAGGCACATGCTGCTCATTGGAACAAATAAGTGGTACTTCCCCACCCCCCATTTTAAAAACACCTATTTTATTCAAGCCTATAACTTTACAAAGAACTCTGTTCATCATGAGTAGATTTTGTTAATATGCTTTAAAATATAGATTCAATTTAATTGTTTCAGCATTTCCAAGATATCTCCTGAAAATGCCTATTTTGCTATACCAACAATTAATGGTGAAGGGGCTGTTTAAAAACCACAACCAGTTTTCTACACTATTTTTAACATAATGCTTTCATGTAGAAATAAAAAGAATTCTAGCTTTCAGATACATTTCAGAGATTGAAGCAAACTTTTTGCCTTGTATTCAAAAGCCTGTTTGCCTTTAAGTGGACTTACCAGCAAAATAGATAGAACTTCCTCTTTAAAAAAATAAGTCAACTACAATTAGGAAGAGAGGTGATTTTCAAATCACTCCTTGAGTTTAATAATTTCACATCTTTTTCACCCTTTTTCTCGATCTAGATTTAAAATTTTAGTCTATATATTATTTCCTTCTCTGAATTTTTAGCTCTTTAGTTACGTGTATGCCTCCCACATTTTCTACAAATAAGAGAGGTTATGACATACATAATTTGAACTTAAAAGGGTTAAGAAGGTGACATACTTCACTCTCCACACCCTTTCCATTCGGAGTTCAGATTGAGAAAAGCATGAATTCAAATATGCAAGACCACAGGTCTAAGAGTCTACGATCATCTTCAAAATTCAGATGTCACAGTGTTTGTTACTGAATGGTTATTCAGAGCATCTGGGCCTCCGTGATGACAGGTGAAGTCACACCACAAAAAAATGGAAAACAAGAATCAAGTAAAAGGAATAAAGGCTTTTTTTAAAAAAGAAGAATGAAGTACATCCCTCGGGAGAAACACTTAGCAGTTCTAGAAAAGGGCTGCTTCCATTTCCCCTCACCTCACAGGTGACATCCTTCGCCACAATTTTAATACAGAAATGTGATGAGTGTAATAGAACTGAATTTTCTGACTTAAGAAAACTGAAAGCTTTATTTTTACCTGGAAACATGATTTGTTTCTGTGGAGCTCTTCAACATGAGTGGAGGACTCATGGTTAATAATGTGAAAGAGCATGATCTGAAACATGACTGATTTATGCCTTTTTGTCCCATGGACCTGTTTTTGAATTATCAACATTAAGTCAGTCTCTTAGCTTCTCGGTAGGGAGTTGAGGGGTAGGCAGCAGGGAGTGACCACCTTGGTAAAACTTAAAAGACAACATTGCAACTGCAGTGACTTTGTAGTGTTAGAGAAAACCCTCCTTTTTTTAACGTTCCTAAGTGGGGTAGGGGTGGGGGTGGGTAACACAGTTTTACCAGGATTAAAATAAATAGTTGAAGTGACTTTTAATGTGTATTTTCTGAAATAAGGGACATTCTTCAATTAAAAAGTCCCTTATAGGGACTCTGGCAAATGCTAACACCATTGCTTAAATGTTTACAGTTCAGAAAATACTACTCACAGCAGAAAATCCTCATTCATTTTGCATTGAAAAGTTGGAAGTTGCTTCCTTAGCATTGACTAGTACACAGTGATATTGAGCATGAACTTTCTAAATGTTTTATATATACATATAAAAATATATTGGTGTCTCACACCCAGAAAAACGCTATATGGTAGAAAGTATGAGCAGGAAAGCTGGTGTTTCTCAGGAATGCAGTAAATTTTAAATGGAATAAGCGCCATCCACCCTCCCACACAATACTCTGGCTGACATGAGCCTGCTTGGGCAACGCAGCAAAGTTAATGGAAAACTTCCAATCAAGTCAGGTGAAAGTGTATTATATTCAGTATTAGCCATTAACATGAATTGTGTGGTCACTGAATGGAATCAGCGATTCCTCTTAATTTCCAGGGGAAAAAAATGAATTCAAGAAATCTACATTTATTCTGGTCATTACATTTTATATTTTAATTTTGCAGTCCTGCATCCTACATATCCAGTGTGAAAATCATGTGATAATTTGTTCTGCATTGTGTATGCTGCGTATCACTTATCTGTCACTTAAAATGTTCTTTCAGGAAATGAATACTAATCTGAATGTACTAGATTGCATATTCACAAATTTTTATGTATAACAAAGTCATCATTATTACAAAGCTAAATAATCATTAGTGTTTATTTTTATGCAGTTTGCCCTTTAATATGTCCTGGTTCTAAGACATATCATCTAATAAGTCTATAATCATGTACAAAATTTATTGAGCAAATTGCCACCCTCTTCACATCATATGAACCAGGCCCATGGAATTCTTTTTGTAAATTATTTAGTGTAAACACCATGCAGTCTGGTGCCTAATAAATGCTTTTTAATGATGAACATTTCTATAATGCCTCTTAAAGAGACCATAGTCTAATTTTTCTCACATTAAAATAAGTGAAGTCACTCGTGAAACTCTTATACTTTGCTGCATTTTAATTAACCTTCAACAGCTATTAAAATGGAATGTAAGTTGAATTTTGAAGGAAAGGAAATAAATGTTTTCCATTTTTTGCCTTGATTTATTTTCTGTATGAGAGCAGCTGTGTTTTTGATAGGTTTATGGTTTGCATGAATTAATATTTAAAGTGGTCTAGGCCAACGCATGGCTATTGCTGTAAATCTTGATGTTTATTTCTGCCTTAAAATTCTCTCATGGCCTACCTGAGACTTAATATTCAGTGCACAAATTAACTGGTCCTCCACACAACTTTTTTTTTTATTAAGCAAATCATTTTACAAACAAATTTGAACTAATTTAATTGAAACTTTTGTTTAGCTTGCCTCTAAGAACTTTTTTTAATAAAGCTCACAAAATTTCTCAGCAAATAAATCTCCCTTAAGTAGGAAAAAAAAAAAAAGCTAGATTTCATACTTGCTTACTTTGAATTAACAGCAACTTTCCATAGGTAAGTCTGCTCTTGCAAAGATGTGAGCAGAATATTTAAAAATATGTGTTTTTGTTTCATAGTTCTAGACTAGAAGGCATAAATGCAGTAAACCCTGTTTGTTGTTTGTTTTACTACTTCGAGCTTCATTTTTCACATTTTCAAGTTTATTAGGTTAAAAAAAAAAGGCAGCCTTGGAAGGCAGCTACTATGGAAAATTGCAGTTTGCATTCAAAATAAAATAGTATTTTCAGCTCCATGAAAAACCATTCCTGCTGAAACTGCTGTAGAAATTGTGACGCTGCATGAGTGGAGAGTGCTGAATCTGTGATTATAGTAGTTTTCTCAGGTGTGTTTATCTCGATGTTCAATGCACTGTGTTTTATAAACAGTTATTAAAGTCAAGTAATATTCAGTTCTACGCAGTGTTATGTGTCATTGGCCTTTTGTGAATGTGCATGTTTTAAACTGAAAATTTTAAACATTTTTGTCCTCTTATTAAAAATGAAATAAACTGTACCATTACATAAAGAAAATCGTTCGTTTTAATTGCTAGTTTTAGAAACTATATTTCTTCATAAGACCTTCAAAACTGCTATAACTATAGTTTGAGAAGGTGTTTAATTATTTAATAACAATGTTAACATTTTATCTACAACCCCAATGATAATTGAAAATATCCCTGCATTGTAAATCCCATTCAGTGCAATATAAAGTGGAGTATATTAACTCTAATTTTATAAGAGTTGGTAGTTCAATAATTATCAAAAAATTAATTTTTGGACTTCCCTGGTGGTCCAGTGGTTAAGACTCCAAGCTTCCAATGCAAGGGGTGTGAGTTCAATCCCTGGTCCAGGAACTAAGATCCC